TGGTACCTCGGGTTACAGACACTTCAGGTTACAGATGCTTCAGGTTACAGACTCTGCTAACCCAGAAATAGTACCTCGGGTTAAGAACTTTGCTTCAGGGTGAGAACAGAAATCGTGCTGTGGCAGTGTGGCAGCGGTGGGAGGCCCCATTAGCTAATGTGGTACCTCAGGTTAAGAACAGTTTCAGGTTAAGAACGGACCTCCAGAACGAATTAGGTTCTTAACCCAAGGTACCAGTGTATTTAGCTCTCCTTTTTAATTTCATTTTAATTATAACTTTTATTTCATTTACTACATTTTATATCCTGCCACCCCATCATGGGCAGGGATTAGAACTCAGCTCTCTCTAATAATTCCAATTTGGCATTCTAACCTGGGATGGCTGACTTGTGGGCCCTCACATGTTCATAGCATTGTAGAGTTGGAAGGGAAACCAAGGACCATCTAGTCCCTGACAGATAGCTACCCAAGCTCTATTTAAAAACCTATAGTGAAGGAGATTCCACCACCTTCAACTCCTATCAGCCTCAGCCAGCATTGGGCAATTGTCAGAGATGATGGGAGTTGCAGATAACAACATCCTCTGGACCACAGGGTTAGTGGCCTCTGCTCTAACCACCATACCCTTCTGTCTCTCTTGCCATTTGTAGTTTCTTCGAGGTCAACCTCACAGAAAGGATATTGCAGAAATCCAAGTGGAGCTTTAAGCCATTGATCATTGTGGCCAGGACTTGTGGCCTGCTCAGTGGGGTCATGGCACCGGGGATTGAATTTTATGGCAATTAAAAAAGAAAAGGGGAAAAAGGACTCCAGTGAATTATGTCCTTTCAGCCAACTCTCTCCACTCCCCCCCCCCCAACTTGGTCTTCACTATGAGTTTGGCTTGGCCGTCAGTGAGACAGCAAAGTAATAAACATCTCAGCGACTCAGGATGTTGTGTTATTAACCCTGATGCGTTAGTTACGGCATAAATTGAAGTCTTGCCAGCTGTCGCGAACCACACACTCCTCCCGTCCCTTGATAGCATGGGGGGGAGGGGGGGAGAGAAAGGGAGAAATCCAAGATTTCTTGATGAAGCATTTCACTACAAGCAAATAGCAAAGGCGCCCTGTGGCCAGGTGCCGTTACGAATCTTGTGCAATCTGTCGCGTAGGTGCCCAAACAGGCATCCTGGTAAATGAATTTCAGGAGAAATCGATACATCTATTCTGGCAGATGTCTCAGGAGGGGGCGAAATTATATCGAAAACATAACGAGCCCAGTAAGGAACATCAGAGAAGGAACTGAAGTTTCTGCTGAAAATATAAAAGGTAAGGATTAGCTTCCTGGGCTCCTATGCTCCTGTAACACAATGAGAGGCTGGGTTTTTTTTTATATACATAGGGATGGACAAAACTGTTGCTTCTGTTTTCTCATTTTTCCATTCCTCAGTTCAGTTCTCCACATTCCTGCATCAGTTAGTGATTTATTTATTTTTAAATCCCCATGAATTGGTGGGACGCAAACCAATGAATTCAAATGACAAGAAAGGGGATTTCGTTTAAACACTAGGAATAACTTTCTGACACTAAGAGCTGTTTGACAGTGGAAAGGACTCCCACTGAAAGGAGGTAGACTCTCCTTCCTTGGAGGTTTTTAAGCAGAAGTTGGAATTTTTTCAGGAATTGTTTATCTGTGACTCCTGCATTCTAGGGGGCTGACTAGGTGACACTGGGACGCCTTCTAATACTGCACCTCTATGATTCTATGATTTATCTCCCTCTCGATATATATATATTTAATATACTTTCTTTTCTCATGAATTGATGGTAAGCGGTTAGAAAAAGGGACAAACTTTGGGCCCAGCACATGGCACATGTTTAAGTGGTAGGTGCCAGTGGGGTAATGCCACACTGCCCACCCTGTCTATGCAAAAAGCACAGCCTGCTGGAACTCTGGGGTCTCCATCAGGAACCAGTGAGCCGGCATCAAAGGCCGCCTTCGTTTCTGCCAACTTTATAAAATAATTGTCATGGGGGAAATCGTTTGTAGAGTTCAATTACTTAGTCGGTGGTAATGTAGGACTATTCCATTCTGAGAAAATTGGAGTGCCTGAATGGCAGAGCCCCCTTCTCGTCTTGAAGAGATGAAATAAAGCAATGATTAGAGCAGAATGCTCTGCATTTGAGAGTGTAAGGTAATACGTCTGCCATGCATTGATAAATAGCGCCGTCAAAAGAATAGGAGCCCCGGGCATAGAGTCGGGGGTGAGGGGGGGAGACGCAACTAAAAATGGCTTGCATAAGTAGGAGACGCACAGTTTCCTCCTTGGCGTAGGAACGCATTGACTGTGATTTGCAAAATTAAGCTGATGTGCTTTGAGACAAGAGCCTAGGAATTGATGAGAAGCAGGCATGCCCCAAAGGAGACTGAATCTCTCAAAGCTTCTGGGAGAGATTTATCCCAGAGTTTGTTAAGAAGGACCTATCTGAAAGGCAGGGCCGGCCTCTTCACAAGGCAAGGTGAGGTGACTGCCTCAGGCATCAGCAGGATCCTCGGGGGCAGCAGATCCTAACATAGATCTTTATTCCTCACCCTTGTTCCTGATGTAGATCTTCATTCACCACCTTCTTACTTGGTGGAAAGGGAGATGCCATTTTGTGGTCCGCCTCAGGCGCCAATACATATTGGACCTGCTGAAAGGGAAGTGGGTGGGCTTATTTAATTACCCCTCTGACATGTGTCTGATCACAAGGATATTTTGAAATGTGGGGTGTGAGAAGATCTAATACTGCCTTCCCCAATAGGGACAGTCCAAACTAGCATAGTTTTATGGGAATCACAGTCCCTTAGGCAAGGACCTAGTTTGATAATCCAGTCAACACAGCCTTTATTTCTGTCAACAGGGAAAAACAAATAGGGGTATCCTAACAACTCTCATTATCATAAGAAGAGAAGACTCCCTGGAAAAGACCCTGATGCTGCGAAAGACTGAGGGCACAAGGAGAAGGGGACGACAGAGGACGAGATGGTTGGACAGTGTTCTCGAAGCTACAAACATGAGTCTGACCAAACTGTGGGAGGCAGTGGAAGACAGGAGTTCCTGGCGTGCTCTGGTCCATGGGGTCACGAAGAGTCGGACACGACTAAACGACTAAACAACTAAACAACAACAACAACTCTCAGTGCCCTTGACAAGCTACCGTTCCCAGATTTTGGAAGGGAAGCTATGGGATGAAGCTGCTTTCAATGTATAGTACAAATAGGCTCTTAAGTGAAACAGGAGGAAGCTGACAGCCAGTGCCACTTCCTGAACTGGATGAAAGTGAAAGGCAGGCATGGGGTGGTTCTCCAGATGCCATAGGAATACAATTGCCATCATCCTGCCCCATTGGTTGTGCTGACAGGGTGGGGCCTCATTTGCCTTATAAATCCAGACAACACTGGTAGTGTTAACTAAGTAGCTAACCCATGACCCCAAGTATTTCAAGTTGTTGAAAGAATGCTGAAATGTGTATTTTGGAGTTTGGAAATGTCACTTTCAGTGGGTTTTGTAATGCTTGCTTCAATAAGAGGTGAGCGTTAAGGTTCCAAAAGTTTATTTCTCCAGCTTGGATAATTTGCAAGCTGATCTTTTGTGCTCTCCTCTTTGTCTGCTTCCCTGGAACTGTGTCAAAGTGGAAGGAGACCACCCCCTGATGACAACATTTTAAGGCAATGCAAAAACGTTAAGTGAGATGTGAGTGGGAGGGAGACAGATATGTGGTTTAAGGGGTCTTCAGGGATCACCAAGAGGGTGTGCTGAGGATGTCTCTGTGATGGATGGACCTTGGTAGGCATGACAACACAGATTATTTCCCTGTGGGGAAGAAAAAGATCCTAGAAGGATCTGGAAGTGTTTTACTGGCTTAGTAGAACAAATAATAATTCTGGGAGGAATCAGTTTAATCAGGAGCTGGTTTAAAGTGGAAGTTTTAAGTAAAGTTCTTTATTGCTTCTGTAAAGTGAAACAAAGTGTTGCACCTAATCAAAGTAACCATTAAGCTGTAACCATCACTGAGTGTGTTTAAATAAAATTCACATTTTGTTTCCAACATGTCTTGCCCTTGCATTGGTCCTCTGATTGAGGGAAGAGGGGTCACAGGATTCCCTCTCATATTATAAAGAATCCTTGCTGGTGGATATTAACAGATGCTCCCACATACCAAGAAATCCCAACCATCTCAAGAGTTACTGACAGGGATTGTCTAAATTTTAAAACACCCAAAATCTGGTCATGCTACCATGTTCCCATTTTTATATTTTCCTTTTCATGCCCAGCCTGGTGACAACCATGAAGAACGTGGCCACTAGAATCATGAGGATAGCCATCCCCGGTGTACAGCTTCATTGCTATGAGGTTGACCATCCAACCACTGAACCCCCAGTTTGGAATGCCAATGGCCTGGAGGACTTAGCTATGCAAAGAAAATGAAGAAGATGAAGAAGTTGAAAGAGCTGTTGCTTCTGAAGGTCTTGTACATGGACTGATACTAGCAGATGAAGGAGCAGATGGAGAAGACGCAGAGGATGGAAAGGCAGACGTTTGAGCCACCTGAGGAATCCACACAGAAAAAGCTGAAGAAGAGGGTCATGGTGTTGGCCATTCAGAGGTAGTACATGGTAGAGACTTCTTTCTAGGAGTCTGCAGGAAATTCCACAGGGATATCCTGATAGAAACATGGCTTCAAAGGATGGATGGAAAGCATCAGAGGTCAGTTGTTCTGATGCACTCCTCCACCACTCAAAGCAGCATTCTGAGATTCTTGCTTCTGTCAGTCTAACGCCTCAACTTTGTGGATCAGCTTTTGCCATTTCAGCAGTTCTGCTGTGACTGCTTGAGTGCTGTAGGAGCCATAATTCCTGGGCTCAGTAGGGCTTGGCTTTTAGGTGCACTGCAAGGTGTGAGATTCAGGTAGGTAGCCGTGTTGGTCTGACTCAGTAGAAATATATAAAAAAATAGTCTAGTAGCACCTTAGAGACCAACTAAGTTTGTTCTTGGTATGAGCTTTCGTGTGCATGCACACTTCCTCAGATACCTATCTGAAGAAGTGTGCATGCACACGAAAGCTCATACCAAGAACAAATTTAGTTGGTCTCTAAGGTGCTACTAGACTATTTATTTTTATTTTTATATATATTTCTGCAAGGTGTGAGCTGGTAGTGCTGGGGGTAGGGGCTGTTGGATCAAAGGGAGAGACATGGTATGGAGTATGGCTGCATTGTCAAAAGGATTGTAGACATCCATGGAGGTGTACTTTGATGTCAGTCTGTGCTGTATGATGGAAGCATACTGGAAAGGAGTCCCCATTTTCTCTCTAAGGGGTTTCACCCACCATTCAAGCTCTGCCTGCCTGTCCTCGCTTTCCCTCCACTTCCTTGGCTCATTTCACTGAGATCCTCAGCACCCATTGGCTGCTGTGGTCCTGCTTGCCACCCACAGGGAGCGAGGGAATTTCTACTCATGTGACTGAGAGGAAAGGGGGAAGTGCTCTCCTATTTATTAAGCATAACCATGTTAGAAGAGCCTGCTGGATTGGGCCAATGGCCCACCTAGTACAGCATCCTATTCTCACAGTAGTCAAGCACATGCCTGTGAGCAAGTGTTCTCCACTGCTAAGGGAAAGTGTACGAATATTGTCCCCACCCCAACAATGGAACATAGGAAAGTGCCTTATCCTGAGGCTATCCTAAATGACCTACACTGGCTCTCTGTTCGTTTCCAAGCACAATTCAAAGTGTTGATGCTGACATTGAAAGCCCTAAATGGCCTCAGACCTGGATACCTAGACACTGAGATCCAGCTCCGAGGGCCTTCTGACAGTTCCCTCACTGCGGGAACTAAAGTTACAGGGGGCCTTCTTGGTAGTGGCACCCTCCCTGTGGAATGTTCTCCCGCCAGATGGCAAGGAGATAAATAACTATGCAACCATTAGAAGACATCTGAAGGGAGTCATGTATGGGGAAGTTTTTAGTGCTTGATGTTTTATTATGCTTCTGTATTTGTTGGAAGCTACCCAGAGTGGCTGGTGCAACTCAGTCTGATGGGCAGGGTACAAATAATATTTAATAATGTAGTAAAAATAGTATTATTTAAGGTTAATTCTGTGTCCAGGGCAGCTGTTTACCAGCTACATCTGGTATGCAGGCTGAGACCCTACCTACCCGTAGACTGTCTTGCCAGAGTGGTGCATGCTCCAGATATCTCCCGTTTGGACTACTGCAATGCACTCTACTTGGGGCTACCTTTGAAGGTGACTCAGAAACTGCAATTAATCCAGAATGCGGCCCCTAGACTGGTGACTGGGAGTGGCCGCCGAGACCATATAACACTGGTCCTGAAGGATCTTCATTGGCTCCCAGTACGTTTCCGAGCACAATTCAAAGTGTTGGTACTGACCTTTAAAGCCCTAAACGGCCTCGGTCCAGTATACCTGAAGCAGCATCTCCACCCCTATCGTTCAGCCCGGACACTGAGGTCCAGCGCCGAGGGCCTTCTGGCAGTTCCCTCGCTGTGAGAAGTGAGGTTACAGAGAACCAGTCAGAGGGCCTTCTTGGTAGCGATGCCTGCCCTGTGGAACGCCCTCCCAGCAGATGTCAAGGCAATAAACAACTATTTTACTTTTAAAAGACAACTGAAGGCGGCCCTGTTTAGGGAAGTTTTTAATGTCTGATGCTGTGTTTAATATTGTTTTTGGAAGCCACCCAGAGTGGCCGGGAAAACCCAGCCAGATGGGCAGGGTATAAATAAATTATTATTATTATTATTAACACTGACTGGCAGCAGCTCTCCAGGATTTCTAGACAGCGGTCTCTTTGAATCTTACCTTGAGATGCTGGGGACTGATGCTGATATAATCTGCAGCCCTTGCAGGTGCCCTACTACTGAGCTATGGCCATTCTCTCTTTTTCACATAGATTACTTTTTGCACCTTTACCCTCAGTCTTTCCAAGTGGCTGACCTTAAGGTTCTGTACTGAGGAGGTGATAGTGGGAGGTTGCTGCTAACAAGGATCTTCTAAAAATAATTTCCCTGTGCGGTGTTCACCCGTAGGAGTTGATGAGTGACGGTTTAGCTTTTAAAAAGCAAAGGAACAAGCATGTTACTAGCCCTCAGGGTCATGGAAGAGCCACAGCAGGCTTCTGCTTTTATATGTCAAGACTTCTCTAATAAAGGGCAAGCGCAGCTGTTGGCTACTGGCAGCAGAAGTGCGCCACTGAAAGGCAGGTTGTTACTAATCAAACTGGGCAGGGCGGGGGAAGCCCTCACTTCCTGGGAACACAAGTTCTTCCCAGCAGATTTTGGAGTTCTGAAATAACATCATGTGACTTTCAAAATGGAAGCAACTAGGAACAGAATAATAGGATCACAGAATTCTAGAAATGGAAGGGACCTCAAGGGTCATCTACTCCAGCCCCCTGCAGCAGGGGAGGAGAATTCATTTTGCCTGGTCCTCTCAGCAGGCTGACACTATCCAATGTCCCCATCCTTGCTCGCGGATCAGAATGCAACTCCCAATTACGGTAGATTACACACATTTCAAGATTTTGCAGTGTATTCTCGGTGTGCCAAAAGGGTACACAAAAATAAGTATATCACATAAAAGATACATACAAGATGCATCTTTCACTGACAAATGCATTGAAAAGTGCATTTGTTACGGAGTTATGCATATATTAGGGGGAAAGTATGCTTAAAAATGAATGTAGTGGTAAAAGTAACATATACATCAATGTGTTGTATTAGGAGAAATTGCTTGCGGAAATGTGTATATTAGGCAAAACTGCATGCTTAAAAGAAATGATGTTGGGATAAATTTGCTTTAAAATGCTGAAGAATTTTCACGAGGAAAATTCGCAGAGTCCAATGGAAATACTGATAACCAAATTTAAGGCTGGAAAAAATGAGAAAATGGGCAAATGAGGCTCAGCGATGATCTTCAGATATCCTCTTCAACACAACTTTCTGCTGAAGTTACACAGGGAAAGAGCATCCTTTGTGGCACCTCATTTCTGGAACTCTCTCCTTGCCTAGTGCTTAATTCAGTGTGTGTGTATACAATATATAGACTGGATTTATCCACGATTAGCCATATTTATAACATCTGTTGACATTACCGGGCATTGCTAACTTAGATCCAATCGTATCAATGGGTCTCATCTGAATAGTTTTACTCAGAGTATTTTCATAGGATTTCCCCAGCTGAGTTTCCTTTAACACCTGGTTCCTTGCATTACTGCTTCTACTCTGATTTTTTTTAAAAGGATTGGTGGCGTGCTATTTATGATCTTGTTGTTTTATTCTTTAAATCAACCTGGTAATGCTACAATGAAAAGCGGTCCACAAATCTTATAAATAGATAAGCAACCCACCTCCATCCCACTGGTCTTACACTGAAGCCTAACACCTATGAAACAATCAAAACATTGTACATTAGAGCAAGAGAAAAATCAGCAACAGGGAGAGTGAAGCAATAAACATGTTAGAGGCCAGCAGCACAACTCAGCCAGGGAAGGCAAAGGGAAATAAATGGATCTTCTGCACCAGCATCGAACAATAAAAAGCATAGGCACCAAGTTAGGGAGCCTTGAGGAATTTGTTCTTTCCTATTTCTTGTACAAATTAACCTGAGCCACATCTCCCTGGACCATGACTAATGAGCAGATTGGGATGCTGCTATATCATCTATCCCTATCATCTATCTATCTATCTATCTATCTATCTATCATCTATCTATCATCTATCTATCTATCTGTATCATCTCTCTGTCTCTCTATCATCTATCTATCTATCTATCATCTATCTATCTATCTATCATCTATCTATCTATCATCTATCTATCTATCTATCATCTATCTATCTATCTATCTATCTATCTATATCTATCTATCTATCATCTATCATCTATCTATCATCTATCTATCTCTATCTATCATCTATCTATCTATCTATCTATCTATCTATCTATCTATCATCTATCTATCATCTATCTATCTATCTATCTATCTATCTATCTATCTATCTATCATCTATCTATCTATCTGTATCATCTCTCTATCTCTCTATCATCTATCTATCTATCTATCTATCTATCTATCTATCTATCTATCTATCATCTATCTAGTGCTTTTTTCCCCTGGGGGTACGCAGGGGTTCACATGTCCCTAAACATCTTGTGAATCTAAGTTTGGCTTCATTGAGGGGCAGTATTTCAATATGAGTAGGAAAATGAGAGTACCCCTAAATTTTTTTTAGAAAAAAGAACTGTATCTGTCTGTCTGTCTGTCTGTTGAGTGTCTAATCTACACACACACACACACACACACACACACACACACGTAAGGCTGTTATCACATAGCCCCCATTGGAAGATTTGTAGTGCTGCATTACAATACTGGATTTTCATGAAGAAAATCCAATGAGACCAAGAAAAGAGAGCTCAGTAGTTGCATGAGTTGGAAAGGGAAACTCTAGGGAATATGTTGGGGTAATGGCAAGGGGTTTGATGAGTAGAGTGGACAGAGGTGCAGTCCGGTGTGTGCGTGTGTGTGTTTACACCGTCAATGTTTTGTGATGCAGATCTCAGACCAAAAATACCAAACCAAGACACACATAAAAAATTCAGAATAGAAGGACGTTAGAAAATATGCTGAAAACCTGTATTTAATTGCACATACAACAAATACAATAGATGCAAATTTATGTGAAAATGAACTGGAACAGACTTATGAACATGAAACTGTTCAAACTAGAAATAGATGGATTTCATCCATCACTATCCAGGATGAACCTCTCTAGGAGGATATTCCACAACTGGGCTGCTAGCTCCCCCTCCCTAACATCAGATGACGAGGCATCTGAAAAAGGTCCCCAGTGATCCAAACAAATGTGCTGCTTCCTGTGGTATTTTGCATTTGGAATTTAGAGGTACAGTGGTACCTCGGGTTAAGTACTTAATTCGTTCCGGAGGTCTGTTCTTAATCTGAAACTGTTCTTAACCTGAAACACCACTTTAGCTAATGGGGCCTCCTGCTGCCGCCGCACCGCCGGAGCATGATTTCTGTTCTCATCCTGAAGCACAGTTCTTAACCCA